CTTGTATTCAGACTTCTGGCTTCTGGGACAGTGAAAGAATACATATTTGCTGTTTTAAGCCTCCAAGTTTGTGATTACTTATTACACCAGCTATAGGACACTAATACAGGCCTATTGGTTCTGGCTCCAATTGGCCATTCCTTTGTCTCTATACCACTCATCTCCTAGCCAATCCTGGACCTAGGCCACACTAAGCCCTGAGGCCAGATGCCCATGTAGGGATAAAGGAAATTTTCCCCTTATCTTTGGAARGCTTGCTGTAATAAACTTACAGAGTAAATAGGAGAAAAAGCATACATATTTATTAACATGCAAAAGTGGAAAAGTCACAGCATGGAAGGAACCACAGGAGTGTGATTCCTACTAACTCAGCATGATTCAAAAACTTACACAAAAAGTCCCCTTTTCCTATAAGGGAGGAGAGGATAGGGAGTGGAGCCAGTTTTTAGGGGAATAGTAAATAGTTTAGGGGGATTTAATGGACTTGGAGAACACACAGTTGCCTGGAACAAAGTTTGCTGGGCCTGAAGAACAGACAATGAATTGTAAGTGATTCTCTTTGGGAACAAAATAGAAGACACTTGTGTGTGACCAAAGTCTGTCCCAGAGTGTTGACAGACTTCAATATATATTCCTGAGATATGAGGTTAGCCTTCTCCTGTTAATGCAGACTGAAGGCCAGTGTGTTCCTCTTTTGATGGATCCGTCAGATAGCCAATCAAACTTGCAGAAAGCCTCTCCTGGTGCCGGAAGGGGGAGAAACAGGGAAAGGTAAAAGGGACCTTGATTTAGAGGTAGGTTCTAAGGCCTCTCAGCATGCCAAAGCCCTGGTCTTTGGGGTATTRTTTTCTGAGCCCATTTCTGCTTCCCACAGGCTAGTCTGAATCATAGTAACCACCTGTTCCTGGGCCCTGCCTACCTTCGCCAGACTGCAGATACAGTTTCTCTGCCCCATAGACTCCACTGGGAATGGGAACAGGGCATGTCTACTGGGGCCAAGTACCCATGAGCTGGGTGAAAACACAGGAAAATTAGGAGGCCTAAATTTTGCCTCTACATTAACTCATTACATTAACTCAGCCAAGTCACTTAGCCTCTCTGGTTCACCTGCCACATACTCAGATTGGAGTGCATAATTATCCTGGGCCCTTTTGATTCTGACTACAAGTGAGCAGGGGAAGGGGTGGGAGGGTTTAGGAGGCAGGAGGGAAACAATCAATGCCAAGGAGCCAATATGTTCAATCCTATGAATGAATGGGGTTTGAATTTTTAGAAGGAGTTGCAGGTAACAGCAGGGCCTGCCCCATCATATTCCTCTCAAGGGAGATGCTCTGTCCATAACCCTCACTACTCAAGTGAGCACATTCAGACCAGGGAACCTTGTCCTCTGCTCTAGTTTGAATATTTGCGTCCAGACATCATCTGTTGAGAACCCAATCCCTGGGTGGTAGGATTAGGTGGCTCTTTGGGAGGTGAGTAGGTCATGAGAGCATGACTGGGATCTATGCCCTTATAAAAGAGGCCCCAGGGGCTGGGGTTGTGGTTCAGCAGTAGAGCACTTGCCTAGTATGTGTGAGGCCCTGGGTTCGATCCTTAACACAACATATAAATAAATAAAATAAAGGTATTGTGTCTACCTACAAGTGTTATATATATATATATATATATATATTATTTTTTTTAAAGAAGCCTCAGAATGCTAGCTAGTCCTTCTACTATGTGAGGACACAGCAAAAAGGTGCTATCTGTGACCCAGAAAGTAGGTCCCAATAGATACTACATCTACCAGTGCCTCAACCTTAGACTTCTCAGCTTCCAGAACTATGAGAAATAAAAAATAAATTTCTGTTGTTTATGTCACTTAGTTCTAGCAGCCTAAACAGACKAAGACATACTCTATGGGCAAAACTAATCGGACAAAGAGGGACCTGACCCATGATCTGCCTGACCACCAATGACATGGAGGAAAAAGATGAACTGGGTTAAACATGATTCTTGGCAACTTGAATTGGGAAAACATGGTAGGAAAACAGAGGTAAAGATGGAGATCTGAGCCTGTGCAAGCCAGTGGCTGAGTAAAGAAACTAAAGTGAGATAGTTTCCAAGGGAAGGAGGTAAAGCAAATTTGGATGGTAGTCAGGGAGTTGTGTTGATGTTGGGCTGTGAACATCAGTCCAGGTGCACTAGCTGCTGGCAGTCCTAAAGCTTCCCGAGCATTGGAAAAGAAAGGCCACAGACTTAACATCTGGTCAGATCTTTGTTTTTAAAAGTGCCTTGGCAGGAAAGAAGAAGAACACTCACCAGCCAGGAGTTATGGACTATCTCATTAATTTTTTAATGTGTCAAAAATAGACTTCTAATAACTAGTAATAAATGAGGCTCAGTGAGTTTAGCAAGGTCACAATAAATAAAGTCAATATCTTAAATTCAATGATATTTCTATATACTAAGATAAACAACTGGAAAAAATTAATAAGCACTTTTTATTTCATATATGTATGAAATTTTGGTACTGAAGATGAAGCACTTTACCACTGAGTTGCTTCCCCAGTCCTTTTTATATTCTATTTGGTGACAGGGTCTTGCTCATTTGCTAAGGCTGGCCTCACACTTGCAATGCTCCTGCCTCAGCCTCCCACGTTGCTAGGATTACAGTATGCCACTGCACCCGGCTTTAAAAATCACATAAAAACATTAAAATATTTAATGGTACATTTAACAAAATATATTGGAGATGTCTATTAGTTATCTATTGCTATATCATCAGTTATCCCAAATTTAGTGGTTTAAAACAAGCATGTATTACCTCAGTTTCCATAGACCAGGCATTCAGGAGCAGCTTAATGGGTGGTTCTGGCTCAGAGGCTCTCATGAGGTTATGATCCCCATGTTAGCCTCAGCACCAGGCATCACATCAGCCATGGACTCTCCATAAGTTTGCCTACCACACAGCTACCATAAGTTTGCCTACCACACAGCTACCACACAGCTACCAATTCTCCCAGATAGGCTGGGAGAATTGGTAGCTGCCAGTCCTCCATATCTATTTGTTCTACATCCATGGAGTCAACCACTCACAGATCGAAAATATTCAGAAAATAAATTGCACTTCTACTGAGCATGTACAGACTTTTTTCTTGTCATTATTTCTAAACAATATAGCATAATATACTCACTCAGCATTTACACGGTTTTAGGTATTAGAAGTAAATCTAGAGATGACTTTAACTATATGGGAAGATGCTCATTGGCCCTATACAAATACTATATAACACCATTTTAAATAAGCGTCTTGAGCAACTTGGATCAGGCTGTCCAAGGGGATCCAGGAACCAGTCTCCGTGGATACAGAAAGACCACTGTAACCCAGGGTATTTTCCCACAAAAAACAAAAACAAGAATTATCTGAGCACAGCGTCCCAGTTTTGCTGAGGTTGAGAAACCCTGGGCCAAGCAAAGACTTAGACTTAGGACACAAAAGTCACCATACATTTAAAAAAAAAATTGATAAATTAGACTTCATCAAAATGAAAGACTTAGTCTGGCACAATGGTGCACACCTATAATCCCAGTGGCTTGAGAGGCTTAGACTGGAGGATTGCAAGTTAAAGGTCAGGGCTGAGGATGTGGCTCAGTGGTTAAGCGCCTCTGGTTTAATCCCCAGTACTAAAAAAAGAAAGAAAGAAAGAAAGAAAGAAAGAAAGAAAGAAAGAAAGAAAGAAAGAAAGAAAGAAAGAAATTCTGTTCTTTGAAAGATATCATTTTTTAAAAAGACAAAAAGGTAAGCCATAGATGGGTGAAACATTCGTAAAATACATATTGTTATATATTATAAAATCCAGAATATATAAAGATCTCTTACAACTCAATAATGAGAAAACAACCAATTTTTTAAATAAGTAAAATATTAGGGCAGATACTTCACCAAAAAATACAAATATGAATGGCCAATGAGTACATAAAAAGATTGTGTGTGTGTCACACACACACACACACACACACACACACACACACACGGGGATTGAACCCAGGGGCATTCTACCACTGAGCTACTTCCTCACTGTCCCACCACCCCACTATGTTTTAAATTTTGAGACAGGGTCTTGTTAAATTGCCCAGAATGGCCTGGAACTTGTGATCCTCCTGCCTCAGTGTCCTGCGCTGTTGGATTTACAAGCATGCACCACCACACCTAGCCATAAAAAGATTCTTAACATCATTAGTCATTAGAGAATGCAAACTTAAAACACAATAAATATCAATATACATTCACTAGAATGGCCATAAATAAAAAAGTTCAGCTAGGAATAGAAAGCATACTTAAGCACTTGAAAGCAGAAAATTCTTTAAAATTTAAAGTTCTAAGACTATTCATTTGAAAAAGTTTACTGTATTAGTCCAATAAAATATTTAGGATCTATTTAGGGGTTATAGCATTTGTTCACCATGAAGATGACCTATTAGAGATCTTTAGAGGTGGTCAGAGAATTTGTGTAGGAAATAAAATCAATGAAGGGTCTTTTTGTCAGTTGGGATGTTTGAGGTTTAGAACCCGAGACAGTAGGTCACAGACACCCTCCACATCTGCTGATTAGGGAGGGACTGAACTCCTCAACATTAGGGGCCCCTCCATCTAGACCTCACGAGGCCCCATTGTTGGGAGTTGGGAGGCTCTTCATAATACCTCTGGGATTTCACTCTGTGCCCCATGCAGATTCTTACATGAATGCCCCTCTGACTGAGTCAGCGTGAGTGGCTGGCCCTTTGTTTCTTGCCACTACAAGCTTTTCACTAGAAAAGGGTCAAAGTTCTGGTTCATGACTAAGAGGTTAAGACTAGATTTAGGATTATGATCACAGAAACCATAATTCAACTTACTCCTAGAACCGTGTCTAACACATAGAGTATGTATTGGTCAAATAAATGAATGAAAACTGGGGTAGGAAAAAGATTATTCCTTGGCTTCGGGTGGCTCAAACAATATCATAAAGAATAGGGAAGTGGCTCACGTCAGCAACACATATTAAAATTGGAACAACCCAGAGATTAGCTACAGTCCCTGCGCAAGGGTAACATGCAAATTCATGAACCAGTCCATATTTTTAAAAAATAATAATAAAAATAAAAGAATGGGGAAGAATGTCTCCCTTGATCCACTCTGATCTCTGCAGTATCAGGCCCATTCTTCCCATCACCCATCACCATTCTGCTAAAAGAAAGACTTCCTGCTCTTTCCGTATCTTTCCACAAAAAGAATCTCCCTGACAGCAGTTATGCAATGAAAAAAAGAAGGAGGAGGAGGAGAAAGAGAAGGAGGAGGAAGAGGAGGATGAACCAGTTGTCTTTCTCAGGAATATTCCTTGCTTTCCCCTGGCTCTGATTTGGTTCAGAGACAACCCTAGACACCTGGCTGTAGACAGAGGGTGGACAATGTGGATTGACTGAAACCAATCTTAACTTACTTCTGGTGCTAGGGAGTGAGAAACACTGGCTCAGAGTATTACTGGCTGGTGCCATGGAATGGTCTTATTTTTGAGTGCCCCTAGTGATTCTGCCGTATGAAACAATAGGCCCTCCCCACCCATTAGATCAAGCTTGCACCCCAAGAAAGGCATTCCCCAGTGTTGCTGTTGATGATGGTGATGGTGACGACAGTGGTGAGAGTGAGAATGGAAGCAAAGACAGGGAAAAGCCTGCTCTGAGCCTTGACATGTGCTTCTAGACCCTTTCATCTTCCAGACAGGACTGTGAGGTGGGTCTGTTATTATCAGGCCCTCTCAAAGATGAGGACTCTGAGGGTCTAGAAAGTCATTTCTACAAACTCACTGTCCTCATAAGTAACGAACAGAAGCACCCAGAAGCCTCCGACTCCAGTGTTCCACACTCCCTGTGCCTCTGTTTAAGCCTTCTGCTAAGTAATCCCTAGGTTAATAGCTTATCCTATTTCCATAGCCCTGGGATCTGGATTACTTCCAGTGTTTAGTTATTACCAATGAAGGTGCTATAAATATTTATGTACAAGCTTTTGTAATGCAGTCTTTTCCCTCGGGTAAATAATTAGAAGTGGAATAATATGCTAAGTGTATGTTTGACTTTTTAAGAAATCATCAAACTGTTTTTCCAAAGAAGTCATGCCGGGGGCTGGGGATGTGGCTCAAGTGGTAGCGTGCTCCCCTGGCATGCGTGCGCCGGGGTTCGATCCTCAGCACCACATACAAACAAAGATGTTGTGTCCGCCGAAAACTAAATAAATAAATATTAAAAAAAAAAGAAGTCATGCCATTTCATTATGCCATTTCATCACCACCAGCCTATATGAGAACTCTACTTGTCCCTCATCTTCCCCAACATTTGATATGATCAATATTTTCAATATTAGACATTCCAATAGATGTGTAGTGGCATCACTTTAAGTTTTAATTTGCATTTTCCTAACAACTAGGATATCAAGCTTTTYTTTCATGTTCTTATTAGCATCCATATATTTTCTTTGGTGAAGTGTCTGTTTAAATCATTGCCCATATTATTATTGGGTTGTTTGTTTTCTTAATGCTGAGTTCTAGTAGGAAAACAAGTCCCTTGCCAGATGTGTGATTCTTTTTTCCTCTCAGTTTGTGACTTATCACTTTTTTCTTGCTTTTTTTTTTATATATATATACAATACAGGATTTACTGGTGTATGTGAGATTAAGAGGGGGACAGTACTGTGGAAGCCCTCATGAGTGCAGGGCCTGCCACTTGCCCAGGGGACCACAATTGGGGATATATTTGACCCCACAGCCATAAGAAATGAGCCTCTTCTCAGTCACCATGTCTTCAAATTCATCAGCATTTAACTTGATAAAGCCCCACTTCTTTGAGATGTAAATCTTTCTGGCTACCAGGGAGAATTTGAAGCTGGCCCTGCATAGGGCCTCAATCACATGGTCCTTGTCCTGCAGTTTGGTGCAGATAGACATGGTGACTTGGCCAATGTGAACCCTGGCCACTGTGCTTTGGGGTTTCCCAAAGGCACCACGCATACCTGTCTGGAGCCAAGATTAGGAACATCATGAGATCAGAAATATGAACTTCTACAGAAAGTGCTGTCTCCAAGGTCCCTTAGGGCAACCCATACAAGCAACAGGCTAGGAGATTGCTGTCTGCAGCCACTGCACACTGGGCCACCACAAATAAAGTAACCCAGTCGGCTTAATTAGGTGCAGCATCTTCATTTTCTTAACAATATCTTCCGAAGAAAATTAAGTTTTAAATTTGATAAAATCAAATTGATTAATTTTTCTTTTATAGACAGTGCTGTTTTATTTCACCTATATTTTATCATTTTAGTGTCCAGGTCTTACCTATTTTGTATCAGATTTATCCTAACTATTTTATATTTTGATGCCATTAATTTTTTTWAAATTTCAATTTTAGATTGTTGCTRATAGGTAAAAAACATAATTGAGTTTTTATTTTGATTTATTTATTTTTATTTTTATTATTTTGAAGTGCTATGATTTAACCCAGGAACTCACACACACTAGCCAAAAGCTCTATCACTGAGCCACACCCCAGCCCCATAATTGACTTTTTTGTACATTTATCTTATAGCCTACATCCTTGCTAAACTCACTGATTCTAGTATTTGTGTGTGTGTGTGTGTGTGTGTGTGTGTGTGTGTGTGTGTGTGTACTCCATGGGATTTTCCACATAGGCAATCATGTGGTGTGTAAATAAAAGCAGTTTTAAGTCTTCCTTTGCAATCTTAGTTACCAATTATTTATTTATTTTATTGCACTAGCAATTTGTATGTTTGGAGTTGTCTTGCTCTTCACTGAAATATTGTTGTGGGGGGAAGACTTTTTCTCTGTGTTTTTCATTTTGTGTAGTTTCTATAATTTGCCTTCAAGTTCATGAATCTCTTCTGCAGTGTTTAATCTTTCATTATTTCTATCTATTGTATTTCTCATCTCAGACACTGTGTTTTTTCATCTTATCTCCAAAAAGTTTTCTTTGGGTCTTTTAAAAAATGTCCACGTCTCTACATAGTCAATCTTCTTTTTTTTTTCCTAGCTTATAATCAGTAGAAATATCATCATAATAACCATTTTAATGTTATTGCCTACTGATTTTACTATCAATGTCATTTCTGGAGCAGTGTCAATGGATTGATTAATTAATCTTATTTGTGGGTAGTGTCTTCTTGCTTCTTCACATTCCTGGTAACTATTGACTTAATACCCAACATTTGTGAATTTTAACTTGTTGGATCTTATTTATTTTTTATATTTCTCAAAAGAATCTTGAGTGTGTTCTGAGAAGTAATAAAGTTACTTGGAAACGATTTGATCTCTTCTTAGCTGGGACCAGAGTTGGATTTAGCAGAGGGTTAATTTTTCTCCACTACTCAGCCAAGACCCTTCTTAGTACTCTAATTGATTCCCCTTGAATTAAGAGGCTTTTTTCTCTAGCTATCAAAAGTCAGCTGTTTCTCACCCTGTGTGAGCTTGGAGCACTGTTCCCTCTTACTGTTTTGAGGGGTTCTTTCCCTAGCCTCAGGCAATCCTGGCTGATCAATACTCAGCTGATTAGTTGAAAGGAAGCTTCATATCTCCAGAGCTCTTTCTCTGCAGCTCTCATCTCTCCAACATTCTGCCCTACAAACTCTAGCCTCTTYGGTTTCTCCCTGACTCCCAGTCACACATCTTGTCAATTCAGAGAGACGGCACCACCTGAGTTCCCCTGCCTCTGGGCCATGGCCTGGGACCTTTCTCTAGGTGGTAAGTCACTCTTAGACATCACCTGGTTTTCCTTCCCTTCTCTCCGTGGCCACTGTTCATCATTGCCCAATATGAAATGTCTTGAGTGCCACTCCTTCAATCTGTTTTGTTTTGTTTTGTTTTCAGTTGTTTCAGGTGGGAGGATAAACCTCTTACTGGAGTAAGAAGCAGAAGTTGCTGGCATCAGCATTGGCATTAGGGTGGGTCAGGAAGTGTTAGAGTTGACTCTGAGCTGGAGCTGCAATATTTTTTTCTCCTTTATACCAGCTGTCACACCTGGCTCCACAGAAGGATCAGTGGTATCAGTCCTTCTGTGCTCTCAGGCTCTCAAGCAGTGGGTGCCAACCAGATCAGCAGTCAGGGTCAAGAGGTAACCAGCATGTCCTGTGGGAAGCCAGAGTGGGTATATCTCACTATAACTTTGTTAGCAGAATGATTCTCACTGAGGTTCCAACACTTCCACCTCCACCAGCATCCTCGCTGGAGTCAAGATGCCTTCCTCTGACAGCCCCGACGACTTCTCCAGTTACTGATCTCACCTGACCAGGGCCGGAGGGAAATTGGCACCTGCAGCCTCCTGGCTGGCAACATTAACCACTACCTAGAAACAACAAGAAAAACTTCCATTTCTTTTGAGCAGTTACCATTTGCCAGGCTGAGAGTTGCCTGTTTGGGTCTAGAAGAGAGAAAATGGCTTGCCCAAGATGACACAACAGGGAAAGGGAAGAATCTGGTGTCTGGTGGATGGCCTGCCAAGAATGAGTCCTGAGAACTTTCTCAGTCTCTTCTGCCATTTTGACCAGGGCTCGCGACTCTGTTTCAGGCTTGTGTCTTCTTCTGAGCCTCAAGCCCTATCCCAAATCTGCTGAGTTCTGAGAAGCAGGGTGATAGGTAAATCATAAACAGATTGAGGTTCAAATCCTGTTTCTGTGTGATCCTGAAAGAATCTCTTCATTCTTGCTGAGTCAGAAGAATCACTTCTACAGAATGGGGTAATAGTATTATTTCAGGGAATTGATGTGAAGATTAAATGAGATAATTTTTGCAGGGAAGGAGTACTGGGGATTGAACTCAGGGGCACTCTACCACTGAGCCACATCCCCAGCCCTATTTTGTATTCTCTTTAGAGACAGGGTCTCACTAGGTTGCTTAACATCTCACTTTTGCTGCCGCTGGCTTTGAACTTGAAATCCTCCCAATCCTCAACCTCCCAAGCCGATGGGATTATAGRCCTGGGCCAAGGCACCCAGCATGAGATAATATTTTTTTATGTGGTTCCGGAATCAAACCCAGTGCCTCACTCATGCTAGGCAAGTGCTCTACCACTGAGCCACAATCCCCA